CATGTGTGTCAACAAGCTATCAAGGAAGGTTGTGTTACTAGCAGCTGCCAGGGGTTCAGTGGTGACGACGAACTTTGTCTGTACTTAGAAAATACCCTTTTACCGCAAGTGCTCAACAAAATATGACACAACTCACAGAGTTATGCCAGAAAAAAATGGCTTGGTATGTGACTACAAATTAATTGTCCTGTAATGATCTGTCTTCCCCAATAATGCTAACGATGGACACGTTTAATTATCTTTCTTGCAGAGGACAGTGAAAATGGAAATGTACCCGACAGATTCCCAGGAACAGTGAGAGTTTCTGATTGGGACATGAAGGATAAGGAGGTGAAGGTTTTACACCCGTGGTACAGGGCATACGGTACTGTGGACAATCCGGAGTTTTATTAYTTTGTTACAAGAATTTTGGCCTCCATTAATGCTAGAAATAACAATTTCTATGGGAATAGTCTACGAAAGGGACTGAGCGCTTGCTAAGTGAAATTTTCACTGTGGAGGATGAGGCATTCGCACTCCTGATGCTTTACAACGAACTTCATGTATGGGAGTCTGCTCTTAAGAAAAAGAAAGATGGGTCTGTTAAGTTGGAACAGAAAAGATTTTGTGATGCAAAAAGCGGTAGGAGAGATGTGTGGACTTGAGAGGGGAAGGTACTGTACAACAAGATATGTGCTGAGATTTAGGAACTTCGACAGGACCCTCAAACAGGAGAGGAATTCGAGAAACATATGAGGGAAMRATTCAGGGAAGAATGTAGAAGGAAGAATGGTAGAGCTATAGTACCAACAAACTCAGAACCAAGGGTTGATGTTACCATGATGGATGACATTTATGTTTGTGAACAGTTCAGAAACCTAACCGATACACTGTTGAAACCGTGTACAAGAGACAATTTAATTGCAGGAACAGTGGGGGATGTCGTAGAAGAAGTWTAGTATTCCATAAAAAGTATTCGTAAAAATCATTCATTGAACATAGTAGTAACACAAATAATTTCTTGTCCGAATGCTATGAATAGCCACAGGAATTAAATTAATTCTAGAACTGTAGATTAGCAAATCGTTGACACTCATCGTGAATAATAAAAGTTTATTTGAGAGTAATACTAATTGCATGTGTGCATCTTGCTTTTTCAACCCAAGAGTCCTGGTCGGGAGAACTGTTGTGGTATCAGTTGAGGTTGTGTATCACAACCCCCCAAAGTAAAAATATGGAGTGGAGGATGAGAGAATATGGGTTGAATACTACAGGCAGAATAATTTGGTGCGCAGAAGGAATGCGCATTGTGACTTAAATATAATCACAAATAGGGGGTCATCAGTAAGCTTGATAATCATAACTTCACCGTGTTTAGTGGTCGCACAAAAACTACACGCGCGGGGTTGCGACCAAACCCCRTGAACACTTTTTGTGACGTAGTACTACTAGTACTAGTAGTACAGCCCTGGTGGTCTTTCCAACAAGGAAACAAAAAGAAACTTGTTTTTAGTGTGGATTTGTGTAAACCCTGGTATCTCATTCTTTGCAAATAATTTATTACCTTGACCAAAAATAGATTATTCATTTTTAACTTAAACATTCAGTCATTATTGTGACAACAAGTCATTCTAGTAGCAACAACTTAGTTTTTGCACCGTAGTAAGTTTTTTCGGCCGCCACGATACGTCAGAAAAAAACAACGGCGGCGGCCTACCAATTTTTTGTTCATGGAATAGGTACCGTACGTATGCAGCGGTATGAAATGCGAAGATCAACAATCGTGACTGAATGCTATGTTGCGTTCGGGAATCCAAATTGGTGAAGCTTTTCAAACGCACGGGTTGCAATTTCTCGCAGCATCACAGCAATCTCACAGCAGCAGGCTATTTGTTGGCACGAYGTACACATCCCCTCGTACTAAATCGGTGTGATCCTCTTGATTAATATTAAAATCGGTTTGTAATCTTGATGTGAAGAAACGATACCTTGTCTATGTCAAAAATTAACTCAATTCAGATAAAATGAACAAAGATACTGTCAATGCGGCTAACGACGACTTGCTCAACCTGGCAGGTGACGCAGGCAACGAATCCACGACCGATTGCGATCATCATAATTACCATCCTCGCAAGAACCCCAGTAACGACAGCACCGGAAACAACAGCAACGACAATTCCTATCCAGCTTTAGAACAATCAGTTGTGTTGGAAGAGCATGAGCATCTTCTACCAACAAAACCCATACAGATAGCAAATTCTTCGGGGATGTCTCGAGCAGAAACAACAGGAGCAGCAGATAGAGCGTCTCCATCGAACGGCATAGTCGTTGTCCCTCAAAAGTTGGATGTGGCTGAACCTGATCCAAGAATAGGCAGGGATGCTACTCCTATTGTGAACGTAAATACACTTACTGCGGTTGAGGTAGCAAAAACAATCACCGCCAAAACTATGAGCACAGTCCCCATGAGAGATAAGAAGAAACAACGGGCCAAGCCAGGGTTTGGCTTGCGAACCTCCCGGACGACTATTGTCGAAACGGGACAGAAGCGACGATCATGCATTTGTACAAACAGCAAAAAATGCAACCAGCTCATGACGAAATGGGCCAAGGTCTCCCCTTCCGATTATCATTGTGAGTCTTGGATTCATCGGGGTGTAATAATTCATTCACTCAGCTGCTAATCTTGTTTTCTACTCTCCGACTTTTGGATTATTCAAGTTCTTCAACTCCCAAAGGAACATATACCTCAGCCCTTRACTGAGCTTCTCGCCATAGAAACTGAAGCTCAGCACACAGCAAGSCATACGATAAGGAAGATGAAAACTACCTGTACTGAYACTGAAAATTCAACAACTTTACAAGGCAGTCACAATGACGATAATCAACTTCGCGAGAGGGAGAGGACGAGCAACAGCAATATGTCTAGCACGGACCTATACAAGAACGGATTTCGGGCAGCAACCCTAAGGCATATCTCCGCGAAGAATCCAATTCCCAAAGACGAACGTATTGCTTTGTGCCACTACCACCCCGAAGTCAGGCCCTATTTGTTCTGGCCAAAGAACACGCCATCGGCGCAAAAATACGCTATTCCCATAGCATTGGCAATCAAACTGGGTTATGATATCGAAGACGCCAAGTGCCTGGGCCTAAACATGGAAAAATATTGCTACGTTCTCCCGACCTATGATTTTGAGGATGCTGAACGAGAAATTGGAAGTATCCAGAAAGTATTTTACGACCGAGTCGAACAAATCCAAACCAATCCAGCTCAATTTGTCAGAGATTTGCGGCAGCTYGAGGAAGATCTGCAGGAGGTCCACAAACTGCGAAAACGAAACATAGAACTTTTGCGGAAGCTTGATGACCGCCGTAGGTCCATTAAGCGGTTGCGAAGCGTCCTTAAGGTTCAACACCGTCACAGCGTTACGAAGGAAGCACTTCAACACGAAGAGCATCAGCAAAGACACCATCAACACCTTCATTCAAACCAGCAAACTCAACAATCGTTTTCAGCAAGTCAACTTACTAACGCTCCAATTGAAGTAGGACCGTCGGATGATAACAATGGAGKGCATCAGCTGCAACATCAGCAACAGTACCAACAACATTCCTATCCAACAGGAGGAGCCACATCCTATCACCAGCAACAGCATCAGATCATGGATTCAACACAACAACAACAACAACAACCAACGCCGATGCCACAACCACTGGGGCTTCAAAATCAAAACCAACAACAACAACACAACCAATTCTTCCAGCCTACGCCACCTACGCAAGAACAGCAAACTATCGGAATCGTTACTGGGGGAATCAACCAAAACAACGAGCAGCAGCAGCAGCATTCGCACCATCACCATTGGGCCTTTAATCAGCAATWCCAAGCTACTCCATTGGGGGGTACTTCAGGCTCCGACAACGAGCAGCAACAGCTTCCGCAGCAGCAACTACAACCGCCATCGGTTCACGCATACGATCCTGAGCCAAACCATGATTCACAACAGCAACATCAAAATCAACAGCAACCAGTGCCGTCACCGATGGAAGAGGCTAATAACCCTGAGAACGGTTAYAGTACCTACGCAAATCATCTGGAAGCCGCCATGGCTGCCGCTGTGGCAGTGGGATTCAAAGACGACCAAGAAGGCCTCGTGGCCGGGGTGGAAGACGATCCCAACCATCACCATCAGCAACAGCAACAACCTAATCACCATTCCCATCCTCCTCCTCACAATATTGTCGTTGGAGACATTGTTGCAGTCGACGACCTCGTTGATTACAACAACAATACCAATCTCGATAGTAGATTTGGAGGTGAAATWAGTGACGACGAAGACCTCAAAGACGACGATTGTTCCGACACCGAACGTTATCGGCAGACTTTGGGTGGCCCATCCTCACAGATCTATCAACGACCCCGGAAGTGGCCCCGAAGAAAAGTGGTTGTTAATCCTCTTCCCGGAWMCAGGGCCMCAAACGACACAAACAAATTGACGAGGAAGAGTGGTGTGAAGAGAAGTGGAAGCAAGAATAGTAAGAGCAATACTTGTACCGGTAGAACTATCGGCAGTATTAGAAAAAAGGCAAAGCCAATCGATTTGTCAGAACGCGTCACTTGATAGTGCAAAAATAATTTCGTCRTAACTCAACGTAAATCATAATAAGAATTGCTTCACCTGGTCAACTACTTTACTTACTTGTACTTCTATCAGCTAGATTTGATGGTTACGAGTATGTTATTTTTGGATTTTTGTTCAGATTTTTCCWAACAGATCGTAGAAAAAAATACAAATGTCTGCCCGTCGTTCCTACTCCGGGTCTGGAAGACCTCAGACCATTCATTATCTACGACCAGTAACACACTTCGCAGAAATAAAAATTACACGATCCCTGGTCGAGAAGGTTGTTGCAACGAACTAGTACTCGTCCTTGACTAGAAGTATTTACTGAGATTGTGTTGCGACTTCGTTACTGARGAGAGTACGTAATAACTAGTGGCTGAACATCAGATGGGAAGATTCTCGTAAAGGGCGATAKAGGAGAGCAACGTGTCCATTCTAGAATTAGTCGCCAAGCTTCAAATRCAACAGGAATAGATCTAGAATAAGAAGCAACACAAGACAATGGGCAAGAAATCAAAGCGCAGAATTGGAAATTCCGAGCCAGCCACCAAACGAACCATACCGGCTAATRATGCGGAAGCAGAGTTCGAAGAAGAAACAAAAGACAATCTAAGATTCCAGGACCCTTATGTTGATGARCTGATCGAAGAAGAGGACGTCGTTGACGATGAYGAAGATATGGAGGATGAGGAGGATGGAGAAGTCGATATGAAACCAGGGGCTTCGTCAGGGGGGCGCAAGATGAATGTCGKCGGAGATCTAGGCGATGACGTGGAAGTGATTCAATCCTGGCACCCCCTCATGGGGCATCGAGACGGCGACAATGACGAAGAATTGGAACTCGAAATGGATCCTAGTGCCTACAAAATGTACCAAACTCTGACCCCCGAATGGCCCTCACTAAGTTTTGATCTACTAAGGGACAACCTCGGCGACAACAGACAGCGCTTCCCTCACTCGCTCCAGGCCGTCTTTGGAACTCAAGCCGATAATSCGGCCGCCAACCAGGTTACTGTCTTGAAATTGAGCGATCTGAGCAAAATGGCTCAAGATCGGGATGAAGAAGAGGACATACTGGGAGACCCATACGACAAGGAGGATAATGGCGACAATTCTGATTCAGACGAAGACGACCAAGATTTAGATCTGGATCCTATCTTGGAGCATTATTCCCTGCCCCATTACGGTGGAGTCAACCGATTAAGAGCTATGCCCCAGAACCAAAATGTTGTTGCGACCTGGAGTGATGTCGGGAAGGTGAATCTTTACGACATCGGAGAACTGCGGGAACGATTCGAGGTCTCTGAGGGACGTGGAAGGGGACCTGCCAGCAAACAAAATAACACGAATGGTCCATTYTTTACCTACAATGGTCATTCGACGGAAGGCTTCGCCATTGATTGGTCTAGGACTAAAAAAGGAACTTTGGCTACGGGAGACAACGATGGAAACATTCACTTGTGGTCGCCTCACGAGGACGGCACCAGCTATACTGTCACCCCTTCTTACGAAACCCCCGGGGTTTCTATTGAAGACCTGCAGTGGTCTCCTTCGGAGGAAACGGTTGTCTGCGCCGCCGAGAGCAACGGGCACGCGGCGATATACGATACGAGGGCCCCCAATCGTGCAATGCTACGGCCGAACCTGCATCCTAACACCGATATCAACGTGCTGAGTTGGAACAAGCTCGTGAGCAATCTGTTGGCGACAGGAGCCGACGACGGAACACTGTGTGTTTGGGATTTGCGCCATTTTGGTGGAAAAGATTCGACCCCTAAACCGCTAGCGCGATTCACGTGCCATCGCACACCCGTAACATCGGTAGAATGGCATCCCACAGACGAATCCATGATCGTCATGAGCGACGAAGTGGGTGTCTACATATACGATTTGTCTGTAGAAGAAGACATTGCCACCCAAGAAAAAGAGAAGGGCCAGACGGACATGGAACAACTCGTGGCAGACATTCCGCCACAGTTGCTMTTTTGCCATTCAGGATCAAAGCAATTCAAGGAATGCCATTGGCATCCGCAAATATCGAGTTGTGTTATGACCACGGCCTACTCAGGATTTTCTACCTTCATTCCGAGCAATCTGTAGTAGATATTTAATGCTAGACTCGAATGGATAGAAAATATTGTAATTCGATAGATTATTTTCTTGTAYGGTACGCAATCTGCCACTGATAACGAAAATGGACTTTTCGCAGAGTAGAGGTACGGTGGGGATGGAAGGTTTCCAAGGATTGCCCTCCCCTGTTGCCCTCAACCCCTTCTTTCACTTCTTTTCCATTCCAGTCATGATGAGATGCTTCTRGTCACTAGCTGCTATGCTGTAAACCAAAGTGCCATCAGGGACCTTCTTACACTGGATATTGGATATTTGCATAGGTAACCACTGTTGAAGGACAGGCGCGCGCACATCAGATAGTTTCAAGAAATGTACATGTATGTGTGTCCAAGGCCCAGACATCCAAACATTTCCATTACATGCAGAAAASCCAGTGGATGAAACAAACTGGATGTGATATACATCACATTTGTTCTCATTCTTTTACTTTTATCTAGTCTATAGGGTTTTCTCAACAACAGCACTCTTTAATTTTTTTGTAACTTTTKGATTTTTTTAGTTTTCACGATTTTCTTAAAAAGAGTGTGTGTAGACTGCAGTACAATTTTAAACAAAATAGGACTTAAATAAAGAAACAAGTATATGACAACTATAAACATTTTTTCTAAGAAGACTTTGCCAGGACTCAATTTTCAGGAGTCCCACCAAAAGGCCCCCTGTTGGTGTATGTAGGATGTTAGATGACAAAGAAGAACACTACAATGAGGATGAAGACAAAGATGAAGGCAACAATGAAGACAAAGATGAAGGCAACAATGTCACCCATCACAAACCTACTGGTGTGAGGAATCTTGTGCAATTGTTTGACCAAGCACAAGGCACCAGCACTTGTCCAAGTCAACCCAAGAGGAAATCAACTGTAACTAGTAGTGCTACCACTGGAAGTATCATTCATGATTATCTTCAACAAGAAAGAGTCATTTGGATTACCTTTRATGTTGAGGTTGGTGGTCCAAAGTGTAGGACCCTTCAATTGTCTGCAGTTTTTCATTGCAACCACAATGAGCTKGGATATTTTGATTCATATTGCTTGGTGATAGTATTTCTTCCTCAAGCCTGTGAATGTCATARTATTACCTCCTGTGATCATGACGAGAAGGTCTGTACTGCCCCTAGTGTTCAAAATGTTTGGGCTGACTTCTTGGCCAGAGTGAAGGATATCTTCAAGTATCAGTCTCTACTAGTGTTGAAAAAKCTTGCATTGGTGTCATGGTAGTTCTTGCATGTTCTTGTTTGACAAAAGAATCCTTCAGCTGATCGAAAATGAGTCCAACAACTTGTATGCCTTTGGAGATTGGGTAACAGAGGCTGAAGCTACTACTGATGCTGATGGACAAGTAAAGAAGAGAAAGATGCTCAAGCTATGCAATGTCACCTGTTCCAACAAAAGGAAGYGTGTTCTAGAGTCAGTGAAAGACCAATGGAACTTCACTTGTGGTTATYGGCCTRGCTTGATATATGCATCTACTTTKGAGGTTTTAGTTCAAAGCAATCAGCTCAAATTMTTTGGGCTAGTCTTGAGAATGGCAGTATCTATGCTCCTGTTGTCYRGAACACAATGAGCAAAAATGGATTTGCCTTTGWTAGAAGGTATGTTCATTTTGGTGACAACAGAGGCCAAGCCAATCACGCTGATGACCCCCTCTAAAAAGTCAGGGCTGTGATGGAGAAAATTACAGGTCATCTTTGTCTTTTGTGGCATGCAAATATTGATCTGTCTGTTGATGAGTCTAGTATGATTGTTTACAAAGGAAGAGYAATCCAGCATACCACAGTAGATGTTGCTGGTAAGAAAAAGGAGACAAAGAGAAGATCCAGAGGACAAAARACAACAAAGAAAATTGATGCTCCTCACAAAAGACATATTCAACAAAGTTCAATGGTGTTGACATCTCAGACAAGGATAGTGCAAATCATTCAACATCACTTCGCTCAAACAGATGGTATCTTTGTATTTTCTTCTGGTTGCTTGACAGAGTGGTGCATTCTTGCTACATAATTGCCACCAGCCTTGCATGTGATGAGTTTATGAAGGAATGGAAAGTGTACAAATCATCCATTT